CATGTACAAATAGCAAAGTACTCCAGGTAATTTCTTGCTTTACCTGGAAATCCTTTCAATAATCATCTCTCATGCTGATAGACATTTAAGACATTAGAGTTTATTATTTTGGCTCTTTGTAAAACCTTCAACTTTGATTTACACATTTATACTTGATTTCAAATCCATTAAATCTAGCTCTAAGCTAAATGAGCTAATTAGTATGTGTGTGTGTATATATATATATATAGAGAGAGAGTTCAACCTGAAATTAAAGCGATAAGTTCAATTTGAAAAAAGGAAAGTAAGACTCTTGAAGCAGATGGATTGTATGTAAACAACAATAAAACTTCAATTCATGTCATTATATGTCAATAAATTAATTGTAACTGTACCAAGAGAGCTAGCCAACTTAAGATAACTTATAACATTATGTACCATATTGTGAATCCATTAGTGTAACATCCGACAATTTGAAATAGCTAAGAAGAGGCTTGGAATTTGAAAATAGTCATTTTTGGAAAGAATTTAAAATCTGGAAATTTGGCTGTGGAAATCAGTGAGTTTTTGACCAACTTTGAGCAGTCATAACTTCCAGCTCAGGATGATTTAGGAGTATTTCCAGTTATGGTTGTGAAGCTTGTGGAATGAACTTTCCAACGCCACCGAGTTTGTATGAGCGAGTTATGGCCATTGAAAGTTGGGCTGTTGGCAGGGAATCCGTCCGGAAATTTTAAGGGAATTTTGGTCTTTTCCCTAGCCATTTCTTTTGGGATTATATTGTTGTATAGGGCTGATCTTTGGATCATTTTATCCCATTTTAAAAGAGAGAAAGCTAGGGCTTGAGTGAAGAGAAGAAGAGAAGAAGAGAAGAAGGAGAAGAAGAAGAGAAGAAGAGGAGATCAACAAGATTCGTCGAGATCATCATGGATTTCGTCGGGGGTGATCCCTATCAAGGTATGTGAGTTCTTTGTGTGGGTTGATCCTTTCCCCCACACCAAGCTCATTTTATGATTTGAGAAAAGATTGGAAATTGTTGTTGAAGTTGTTGGAGTTGTTAGTTGTTGTTGAAGTTATTGTTGGTTGTGGGACATGATTTGGTTGTGTGTTTGAAGTTAAATCTATTGTATGTTGAGGGAATTTATGATCCTTAGTGGTTGGGATTGGAACCCTTGAAGTTAGGGTGGTTTAGAGTTGAAGAAAAGAGGGAGAAAAGTCGAGTTTTCTGGGCAAGGGGTCGGCGCGTCGCGCCTGCCAGCGCGCCCCAAAAAGGGCTCTGAGGTTTTCCCCTTGGGGTGCCGCGCCTCTCAGTACGCCAGCAGTCCCTCTCTGAGGTTTCTGGTCTGGCGCTCCGTGCCTCTCAGAGCGCCAAGGGCGCCAAGTTTTCCTATTCCTTCCATGCTTTCTCATGCATGTTCCTAGGTGTTATACCTATGTTCCCTAGTTGTTTCCAACACCCCAAAGTGTTTCTAAACATCCCGAACTCATCCAAATACGTGTGATCATATACCTTGAATCCATAGTTCAATTCAAGGCAAGTTAGTATCAAGTTAAAGAGAAGTTAGAGTCAAGTCAAGCCATGTTAAGAAATAAGTTCAAGCAAGTCCTCCAAGCTTTTCAAGAGTCTTCATTGAACGTTTTAACTTCATTCTAAGGCTCCAGTTCCAAGTTAAGTATCGAGTTTCAAGTCATGTCAAGAGTTTCAAGATGAGTAAAGAGTTTAAAGTTGAGTTCATTTCTCAAAAGCTATTAGGGAACTAAGTATTCCCAAATAAGCTTCTAAATATTTTTTTTACATTTGAGTAAGAAAGGAACTATGATTCCAAAAGAGCCTTAGGGCTAGTTTTCAAGAAAAAGGAACATCGTTTTCCAAGTGAGCCTTTGGGCTAGATTTTGAGTAATTATCTCATTTAAAGAAATATGTGTTTAAAACACTTACGAGCTAAAAGCATTTTGGGAGTAGTATCGAGCACCGATTTGGGGACGCGAGTTCATATTAAACTCAACTCTCCATAAGAACCATGTAGCCAACATGGGAGTTAACGGGTCATACTTTTTAGATGAACCCGTAAAGTTAAGCTAGTGGATCCACTTAGTAAAGTTAGCTTCCTATATCAAGACCAGGTATAGGATGGTCCTTAGGCAACGTGAGGTAAAACATTGTATCATTAGCTTCCTATCGTTCGGCGAGGTAAGTGGGAATCGCCGATAGACTCGACGCTTCACCCATCATCTGGTTCATCTCCTTCTATGCTTGCCTACAACATCTCTGCGTCCTGGACCATTGGGCGATATTGTATTGCTTCGCGGAACTGTTCGGCAATGCGCCGACTGCTCATTTTTACAGCTGATTTGATCCTGTTCCTTTAGGGCTCCGCGTACTGGAACAAATGGCGAAGTATGTCTCTTCGGCGATTCGCCAAGTGTGCTGGGCGATGCTCAGACTTCAGTTTCTTCGTTCTTTTAAGCCTTTTTGTTCCTTTTTATGCCTATGTGTCCATGGTTCCACTCAAACTTCAAATACATGAAACTTAAGAGTTTTTATAAGATATTAGGATAAAAGAAGCATTTGAGGACACTAATTCTATTAAAATATGGCCCTAAATGAGTCCAATTTGTGGACTTATCAATTGGCACCTCTGAGGCATTTGGGAAATACCTAGGCTTCCCCATTTTCCTTAAAAGACCTACCAATGCTGACTTCCAGTTCATCATTGATAACATGAACAAAAGATTGGCAGGTTGGAAAACCAAATTTCAGAACCTTACTGGAAGAACAGGCCTTGGAAGAGCAACCCTTAGTAGCATCCCCTCCCACGTAATGCAGTACATCAAGCTTCCGACAAAGATTACCAACACAATTGACATAGTTAAGAGGGACTTTGTCTGGGGATATTCAGTTGAGAAAAGGAAAATTCATCTCCTCAACTGGGATAGCATCACCAATGCCAAGAGCATGGGTGGACTGGGTATGCAAAGGAGTGAGATAAGAAACAAGGTTGCATTATTAAGCCTGGCTTGGAGAGCCCTCTAGAACCCGACCAAACTCTAGAGCAGGATCCTCCTAAACAAGTACAAAAACCCAACCATAGAGCACAATTCGAGAAGGATAGTCTCCAGAACCTAGAAGAATATCCAAAGGGGTTGGATAGATGTATTTGATGCAACTGAATGGAGAGTCCATAAAGGAAATAAGGTAAACTTCATCACTGATAAATGGATCCCTCACCTTGAGGCCATCAACAAGATCATTCATGGCCCCTTTTTGGAAGCAGAGACCAATCTAAAGGTCATGGATGTCTACCAGAATGGAGAGTGGAACCTGGAAATCCTATCCTTCACCATTTCAGAAGAAATTAAGGCCATCATCAGAGGCCACAAACCCACTGGCGAAGCAACAAAAGAAGACACCATAGGCTGGAGGCTAACCCCCAATGGAATGTTCTCAATCAACACAGCCTATAGGCATATAAAAGCATCTAATGATACACAAGTCTTAGAGCCAAACGAGAGGTACAAATGGATTTGGAATGCCAAACCCCTAACAAAGTCAAAACCTTCCTTTGGCTTATGTATCACAAGAGATTGCCCACCAACAATGCTCTGAAGCAGAGAGGCATCAATGAACCCAAATGCAGCTATTGCAGTGATGACATTGAGGATACAAATCATATCTTTTTCCAGTGCCCAAACTCCACCACCGAATGATATAATCTCCAAGAGCGGTACGCCTGCCAACACCCCTTTCACTTCTTTAATAGGCACTGAGTGGATCAACTAGTGGCACAACATCAAGAACAACAAATTTAATGATTAGCTGGACTGGGGTACTCTAATCCCTTTTTGCCTCTGGAACATTTGGCTAAAGAGGAACCATAACACGTTTAATAACAAAAAGGATAGTGTAAGTGCAATCGATACAATCTCGCAAGCCACTGAATTCCAATGGGTCATTGTTAAGAGCACGAAAAGAAGTGACTCCAAATTTATCACACAAGTCAGCTGGAGACCCCCTAACCCCGATACCTTCAAACTTAACGTGGATGGGGCAGTGAAGAACCCCCCGGGCCCGTGTGGGCTGGGAGGCGTGATCAAAATTCACCTGGGGGTGTGGAAAATGGGTTTTGTCGAGTACACTCCTTTAACAGACCCTATCAGAGCAGAACTTCAAGCATTGCGAAGGGGCCTAGCCATTGATGTTAACCATAACCTTAGCCCGCTAGAAATTAATTCTGATTCCTCTAAACTTATTAAAATGCTAAAAAATGGTAACTTGCTCTACGATGATCTAATTACTCAATGCAGGTCACTAATGTAGAGGCTGGACATCACAGGACTGGAGCATGTTTTTCGGGATCAGAACAAAGTTGCGGATAGACTTGCGAAGGAAGGAGCGAAAGCAGTGGACGTGGGGCAACCAATCTTTTTTGAAGCTTCACCAGCATGGGTGTGAAAGGAACTAGATGCTGATGCAATAGGAAAAACCTACAATAGGGTTGTAAAACTCCCCTTATGGCATTATCCAGGGTCGGGATGTGACCCAAACTACTAACAATGAAGCACCCGTTAACTCGGGATAGACTTAAATATGTTGTCCTTATTATTATTAATATTATTATAATATAAGTAACCTTTTGATAAAAAAAGAAGAAAGTATATGAAATAAATATTGAATATAAATAAGATTATGGTGTAAAAATAAATAAAAAATAAAATAATTTTAAAAACAATAAATAAACAAAGAAACATAAAAAGAAAAAAGAAAAGTAAAGAAATAAAAGGCAAAAGAATTAAAAATGAGCTAAATAACTAAAGCTACCAGGAAATAAGAGAAGTAATTTGCTTTTATAAGTCATATGCTTAATTTCACCTTAAAATCAATAAACCCACCCAAATTATAAAACCCTTAACACAATTCCTCACTTATCCTTTCAATCTTAAAAAACCTAAATATGTCTCTTCACTCTTGTGGCGACGAGTTTAATTACTTCTCAAGAAAATAAAAAACGATGCAATATAATATGGCAAAAAGAGTTTTTAGAGGAGACAGAATATCAGAGTTGCCTGTGCATATCATTCATCACATCTTATATAGCACTGACCTCGACGTGAAAGAGGTGGCGAGAAGTTGTATCTTGTCCAAGAGATGGTACTTTTGTTGGACTTCAAGACCTAATCTCATATTCGATCTATTTAAAGGCTGCAAATATATGCCCCTCGAAAACTATGCCAAGTTGGTTGATCAATCCCTCCAATCCCACGTCCAACAAAACTTACATCTTGAACAATTAAGCCTTACATATCGTGATCATCGAGAATTTGATTCTCTGCACGTTGATACTTGGATTGAATTGGCTTTTAAACTTAACGTCAGAGTGCTGGAGATTTATGCTTCCTTTTTAAGATCATATAGCTTACCTGATGTTATTTATGATGCTAAAAACCTGACAACATTGCGGTTAAGAAATTGCAAGTTTGAATTTGATATTAGCACCACTCCCATAAGATTTGATTGTCTTGACGATCTTTATTTGCATTGTGTCCATATATCAGATGCTCAATTGCAAAGAATTATCGATAGATCCCCGTGCATCAGGAATCTATCCCTAGTCGATTGCCCAGGAATAAACAAATTGCAAGTTTGTGGCCCAGTACATCTCGAGAATTTGATTGTTCAATTGTGCAAATTCGATAGTGTGATAGTCCAGGCGCCAAATCTTCAATGCTTTAAATATGTAGAGCATCATGCTGTTCGTCCTTGCAAAATTGATATTTTGGATGGTTACAATACTTTACAGACACTGGTGCTCTGTGGTGCCAGCATCACAGACCAACAGTTTAGAGATGTATTCTACAAGTTCTCAAACATATCAGAATTGGATCTAACATCATGCCTTCAGTTGAAAAATATAGAGATTCAGAGTGAAAAATTAAAGAAATTCACTTTGGTACGGATGGAGAGTCTGGAAAAAGTTACTATTCAAGCTCCAAATTTATTGGAATTTGATTTTGAGGGTGATAAAGTGCCCTTCTCATCTATGGATCCCTTCTCATCTATGGATCCTTCTTCCCTGGAAAGATCCCAACTCAATTTCTTGTCGCCGCGCACAAACTTTGGATCAGTGGACAGCCGTTGGTACACAAATCTTCATCACTTTGTTCAAAAGTTCAACTATTCTAAAGGTTTGATATTAGCAATATTTTGCCGCAAGGTACTTTCCATTCTTTTTGTGCCTTTGATTTATGCTATCATTTATTGAATTTGGTTTAAGCTATTCCAATCACAAAACTCTTGCAGACGAATAACATCCTTATTTATGAAAATCCAAGAGAAATTGTTATTCCTCCAAGTCATGATGTCGAGATATTCATTGCACCCATACAGCGTGTTGAATCAACCATTAGAAAGTTAATGCTCTACTATCCTTGGATAATTTCCATACTTCCATGTACAAATAGCAAAGTACTCAAGGTAATTTCTTGCTTCACCTGGAAATCTTTTCAATAATTTGTAGACACTTACACTAGAGTTTAACTATTTTAATCTGTTGCTTTCTGTTTATTTGCTCGTCTCATAAGCTTCATTGTATTTTATATGTCTTGTGTTTTTGTTTAAATACAGGTGATGTCTGTACTAAAAGGGTGTACACAGAAGCAGAATTGTGGTTCAGAATGTCCATTCAATACCGAGTATTTCCACAGGCATAGTATATTAAAAGATGTCATCAGTTGTCCCTGTTGTCCCTTTTGTCTCTGTACAGGGACAACTGAGGTGGGGATGACCATCATTTGGTATTCCTGGTTGAAATCCACGCCTCTAGCTGACCAAGTGAAAAATTTCATGCTCAAATGGTAGGAAGCTTAGACCGAAGAGTCTCGGGGAATTCAACATTTGGAGTTAATTAGAGTGTTCAGAATAAGCATGTTCTATTACATATTTCCATTTTCTGTTTTTCATTATTTTGGCTCTGTCTAAGACCTTAACTTTGATTTACACATTTATACTTGATTTCACATCCATTAAATCTATCTCTAAGCTAATTGTGCTAATTGGCGTATATATATATATATATATATATATATATATATAGTTCAACCTCAAATCTACTAGTCCAGTTGAATTCTACAGTCGCATGTGGCTCTGGCTAAGACTGATTTACATGTATACTTGAAGTCAAATCCATGAAAAGTACCTTTACACATTTAAACTAATTGTGCTCACATATGACATACATTTAGCAACATCTGGAGTTCACAATTTTGCATTTGTTGGATTGTATGGAAATACAAAATGCAATTTACTTGTCATTAAGATGACGGATCAAGTGTATGTATATGTGCGACAAATTTGGAAAATTAGTTGACCTTAACCCACTCCATGGTGCAACTGCTATTCCTTCTAAAATACAGGCCAATCTCCATCATTATCTCCTTGAAAACACATTTCTCAGAACTATTATTTCCTTATCAAAGCATAGAGAAGCAGCAAAAAGTACCACTGTCATATCGATCCAGAGTATAAAACTGCCTAGCTCCCATATTTCCTTGGTAAACAAGAACCATCAGCGATTATTTTTAAATATATTGTCCACTTTCCATAGCTCACAGAGAGACGTTACTAGAGTGGTATAAGCTTTAGAAACTCAATTACTATATCTATCCATGCCTTTCGTTGCATGTTTTAACTGGCAGAAATCAAGAAACTGAACAGACGTCCTATAACTTGAAAACTGGAAAGTAACACTCTGTTTTGAACTCTGTGACCACCAACTCATGCAAATAACCAAAAGAACCTCAATGAAGCAGATGGATTGTATGTAAACAACAATAAAACATTTTGAAGAATCCATTACCCTGAGTGGTTTTTTCTCAAATTCATCAAGACTCAGAATCCTTACTCTCTCAAACAACTTCACAGGTCCAATTCCTGAATCACTCGGTTACGATAGAATACCTAGAGGTTTTGAACTTGCAGGGGAACAACTTTTTTGGAGATTCAGCACTGGGGTTCCTTTCATCTTTGACAAAATGTAGGGTACTAAAATAACTCAGTTTTTCGACGAATCCGTTGGATAGTGTTCTTCCTGCATCAATTGGTCTGAATCTTTGAATTAAAAGACATCATTCCTGAAGAAATTGGTAATCTTACTGGAGTGACAAAGATGAACTTGTTAAACAACGAGTCGGCTGAACATATTCCTAATACAATCCAAGGCATGCTTACCTAGATAGAAACAATTCAGAAGGAGCCATGCCAGAGGTTATCTGCAGTTTAAAGAATCTTGGAGCATCATTAGACTTGTCAGTGAATGAGCTTTCTGGTTCAGTGCCACCATGCTTAGGGAATGTTACCAGTTCAAGAAAACTTAATCTAGCTTACCTGCAAGCTTGGGGAGCCTTCAATATCTCATTACAATTCAATATTTCATCCAATTTATTAAGTGGGAAAAATCACGCGGTGATTGGAAATTTAAGGTCTGCTCTACTCATTGATCTATCAATGGTAAGATTCCTATCACGTTAGGGGGTTTGAATAGATTGATCAAGCTTATAAGAAATTAGAAGCTCTTGTGTTTCTGGAATACCTGAACATCTCATTTAAAAAACTCAGTGGAGAAATAGGTGTGACACTCAACGATATATATCATGATTCTCACTTATTTTGTAAAGCTGATAGCGATAATTAAGAAGAAAGGGGGATTGAGAGTGAGGAATCTGACGTTACATAATCCAAACAAGTTCCACACCTTTGCTTGTAGCCTCTCTTGTAACAGCAAATGCTGCATAGTATCTACTTGCCATTGTATACAACAAGTTGTTGATTGAAATGAATGTTGTATTGCTTCTTGTGCTGCATTACAGCTTTATTTCTGTAAATATAACTCATCTGAAGAGGATGGCTACCACACTAGCATGTCTTCATTTTCCATCAATTTTCGAGTTTACATGTTGAAATTCTTCAACTAGACCGGGAGATGTTTACAAGAATCTGACTAGGTGATGAAAGATATATTGGAGACTTGAACATACGGCGTTGGGTAAGTGATTCTTTCCCAAATAAGATTTCATAAGGCGGTGGATACTAATTTGGTACATCTAGGATTTGAACGAATTGATGCAAAGATGCAGTGTTGTCACGCCCCGAGACTACACCCTGGGCAGGACCGGCACCCGGAGACCATTGCTGGCCCCAAGCGAACCCTTGGCCTGGCTTTCTTAACTCAGCGGAAACCTAACTCAACCGAATAACTCAATGCAATGCAAGGTTACAAACAACTTAACTTATAAAATCTAGCCACAAAGGCAACTCAAATCTCAAAATAGAATATTTACATATATACATAGATGCGAGACTCAAAACTAACTGGCTGACTGTCTATGAAGCCTCTACAATACTGAGATGGATGTTGGGACAGACCCCGCAATACCCTAATAAAACAAAACTAAGAACACAAAATAATTGAGTCCTCCGGAATGCAAGGAGGCTCACCACTGACTCTGGAGTGCTCAGCTGGATCAACGACGTGCTGGATGCTGATCTTGGGTACCTGTATCTGCATCATAATAAGATGCATGCCAACTGGCATCAGTACATGGAATGTACGAGTATGCGAGCTGGAAAGCTAAACCACAACTTAAGCTTGAAAGGAATACAAGAAAACACTTACCTTGGCCCTTACGACTCAAGAATAACTTAACTGAACTCAATATGTATATAAGGCAATAAGACACATGCGGTATATAAAGCTTTTAAAACATTGCAAACAACTTAGTTCGTTAATGATTAAAGCAATAACAACTCAACTTTATTTATATAAAAGTAATATAACTTTAGTGGGAGATTCTTTAACCGACAACCACCACTATGAGCCCTAGTGGTGGTACAACGTTTTACCTCACGTTGCCCAAGGACCATCCTATACCTTGCCGTGATATAGGACCTTACTTTTGCTTAGTGGATTCACTAGCCTAATCTTACGTGATCATCTAAAAAGAATGATACGTCAAGTCCCATGTTGGCGCATGGTTATTATGGAGAGTTGAGTTAATATGAACTCGTGTCCCCAATTCGGTGCTCAATACTACTCCCAAAAATACTTTGGCTCATAAGTGTCTTTAAACACATCTTTCTCTATTTGAGATAATTACTCAAAACTTTGCCCGAAGGCTCACTTGGAATCGATGTTCCTCTTTCTTGAAAACTAGCCCAAAGGCTCTTTTGGAAACATAGTTCCTTTCTTACTCAAATGTAAAAAACATTTAGAAAATTCTTTGGGAATACATAGTTCCCTAATACTTTTGACAAATGAACTCAACTTTAAACTCTTTACTCAACTTGAAACTCTTAACTTGACTTGAAACTCTTAACTTAACTTGAAACTCTTGACTTAACTTGAAACTTCTTGACTTAACTTGACTTGGAAACTAACTCTCCTTGAATTGGAATTATGAATTCAAGGTGTTTGATCACATGATATGAACAAGTTCTTGACGTTTAAATGTACCTAGGAGTGTTGGAAACAACTTGGGAACATAGGTACAATACCTAGGAACATGCATGAAAAAGTGGGGAAAGAATGGGAAAACTTGGCGCTCTGAGAAGCGCGGAGCGCCAAACCAGAAACTTCAGAGAAGGCCTGCTGGCGCTCTGATGGGCGCGCCGCCCCAAGGGGGAAAGTTCAGATCCCCTTTTGGGGCGCGCTGACAGGCGCGACGCCCCACCCTTTTTCCCCGAAAACCGACTTTTCTCCCCGAAAACCGACTTTTCTCCTTAGTTTTCTCCAACTCTAAACCTTCTACACTTCAAAGTTTCCAGCCCCAAACACTTAAAATCATGAACCTCTCAACATACAATAGATTCAATTCAGAAACACCACCGGAAACATCCCCCAAACCAACAAGAACTTCAACAAACATAATCAATCTTTTTCTTGAAATTAAACGAGCTTGGCGTGTGGGGGAAATAACCAACCCAACACTATGAACTCACATACCTTAATAGGGATCACCCCCAAAGAAAACCACGACGATCTTTACGAAGTTTGCTTCTTCTTCTCCTTTCTCTCCTTTTCTCTCAAGAACCCTAACTCTTACTCTTTTTAAAAAGGGAAAAACTGATCACAAATAAGTCTTACACCTTAATATATATCCAAAGACAAGGCTAGGGAAAAGACCAAAATACCCTTACAATTTCCGGACAGATTTCCTGCCAACTGCCCAACTTTCAAAGGGCATAACTCGCTCATACAAACTCGGAAGCGAGTAAACTCTATGGTGTTGGAAAGATCATTCCACGGACTTTGCAAACATGACTGGAACTACACCTAACTCATCCTGAGATAGGAGTTATGACTGTTCAAAGTTGGCCAAAAATTCACTTTTTCCCATACTTAACCAAATTTTCTAGATTTTTAATTCTTTCAAAAAAAACTATTTCCAAGTTTTAACCTCTTCATAGTATTTCAAATTGCCGGACGTTACAAGTGTCTCTTTAGTGTCACCTGATGCAAGAATTAGTATGGAAGATGCTCTTCAACACTTAAAAAGTCCTGGCTCCAGTTTCTTAAAGGAGAGATCCCTCGAGACTCGGTGATCTTTGTCACATGATTTCGTTAGATATGTGTTGGAATGTATGCGTCCACTTATCAGTCAAGGACCAGGTCCTTTGACTCAGCGAGAACAGTAACTAAAAATATGCGTTCACTTGTTTCGATGGGACCAGGTCCTTAGCACAGTTATAATAACAAACATTAATATAAGTGCTGAAAGTAAAGATTGAACAAGCAACTTTACGTGGAATCCTCCTTGATCAAGGGAGTAAAACTACGACCTGTCTCAACAAGACTTTTCAAACTG